TTGTGTGTAGTATTGGAAAACGGTTCAATTTAATTCTCTTACAATTGGAAATCCAGTTTGCATTATGTATTTATTGAAGTGACTGTCCTGTCTCCATGATGCCCTGGTGCCTTATGTACAGGTTAGTCAATCATGTATGGGTAGGTTTGTTTTTGATTGAGCCTACGGGCATCCAACCTTAGATGCACAATGTAGTCACCTCAAGGATGTGGAAGCAATCTTGAGATGCTCAGGCCATATCCCAGAACAGTTATTCAGACACTGGAGGTAGAATACATCCTTCAGTGATACCAACATGAAGTCCAGGCTGAGAAGCACTGGCCCAGTCCCTTCCCTTCCCAGGATTACTACTTCCAAACCTCATATCAGAGTTGATGTTTCATGGAAGCTTATTCTCCACAGAACTGGCTGGGAAGTTTGTATGGCATGGAACACACCTCATTAAAATGCAGATATAATGAGGCCTAAACTTTGTTTCTCACACTTCTGCATGATTCCTGGTCCACCCTACACATCATGATCAAAGAGAGCTGAAAAAAAAAAGCAACCAGGCAAATGGCCACTTGGGAGACTCACACAGATGGGCACAAGTAGTTCTCTGAATACCTGATTGGCATAGGGAAAAGGGGGGATACTGAAAATTAGTCAGAACACATGATAGAAGGCAAGCAAGAAGAGTAAATGATGAGAGCATCATGGTTGAGGTTTCACTCTTAAGCCTATAGACCCCCAGGTGATTATAAATTCCCGGAGGCTTTCTTTTCATTGTGATTATGGGAGGACTGTACTATACTGCTGAAGGAAGACATTACTATCATAAGAGTATTTCTCATCCATTTATTTGCATTTAGGATACTGAGGAATTAGAGGGGAAAAACAACTCTTTTCAAGGAGCATTAATTATATGCCACACAAGGAAGCAATTGTATCTATGTTATGAAATATTAAATCAAAATGCTCCCATTCTCGCATGTCCCAGAGATAAATACAGCAGTATTTTGAGGCCCCTTTTGGAGCTGTTTTGTCTGCAAATTTATTGTTTTGTCTCCATTTTCAGAAAGCCCTGTTTTCTGTGAAGTATAGCACTCTAGGTAGTTTTTAAGGCACAAACTCCTCTAGAGTCGTCTATGTTGGTAACAACTCTTATGTAGATGGTACACGAGGGATGGTGGGCTGATCGGCTCCTTTAAGATGACAAATGGGCAGAGAGGGTTATTGTCTTTGATTGCAAGCCTTACATCATCTGTATGTAGGAATAAGAGGGCCATACTTTATCTTTAGCTATTTTATAAATATTTAAGTCCTTATAGTTGCCTAAAGATATTAAAGCATATTTTACAGTCGTCGGAGTATAAATATTATATATAGCACAAGATACCAAAGTCATTTAATGAATTCATAATTTTCAGTTCACATTTATTGGAATGTGTTTTATGTTCTAAAACTCCCATTTAAAAAATAAGATCCCATTCTGCTCCCTGACAGCATACCCCACATTGGCCAGCACTTGGGGTGGGCCATCAGACCTGCTTGGTGGAGGCTTCCCCTCAGGAAGCTGAGAGACAGGAAGTCAGGCTGGGCTCTGGGGAAATAGTCCCTTAATCTCTAAGTTTAAAAATATTCAACTAATGTTCTTTGAGCAAACACTTTTGCCTTATATAACATCTCAAAGAGCTAAAAAAGAAAAAAAATTAAGATAGAGTCATGATGTAGTCCAGGTTGGCTTTGAACTACCTTGGTCCTCCTGTCAAGCACTAGGATTTACAGGCATATGTGACCACACTTGGCTGAAAGAGAAAACCTTTTCCTTAACAATGTTGTTACTGGTAGATTTGTTCAAAAGACCTGAGGAGGGAAGATTCAAGATGAAGTTTAAAATTATTCTATCCACTAGTCACCAGGACACTGCAGTGACTGAGGTCTTGATTTGGACAAAAGCTTCCCAATGCATTCTGAATAGTTCTAACTTAAAGAGTTCCTCTTGAACCAGGCGGTGGTGACACATGCCTTTAATCCCAGCACTCGGGAGGCAGAGGCAGGCGGATTTCTGTGAGTTCGAGACCAAGCCTGGTCTACTGAGCGAGTTCCAGAACAGGCTCCAAAACAATACAGAGAAACCCTGTTTAAAAAAACTAGAAGAAAAAAAGAGTTCCTTGTGGGTGGTGTTTCTTTTGGTTTCTGGATTGTTTGTTTGTTTTATTGTTGTTTTGCTTTCTCTCCTTTTCCTTCATGCAAGGGAGTGGCATGCAGAGTATAACTGCACCTCTTTTCAATTTTCCAGCAAAATATAGACTTTCCTCTTTAATATTTTACAAAGTTTCTCCAGCTCCCAGCGGGAGTCCATGCTGGGTAATGTTTGCTAATTACCAACAACAAAACTAGACATACAAGGCTGGTAAATTACCTGACCCTTTCCATTTTAATGAGACAACAAGGATTTCACCAAGTGATGTTGTTTCGCTGGTTAATGGTGTCAGCAATGTTGTAATTGTGGGTTGAGACACATTAGCTGAACAGCCACATGGAGAAAGGGCTTTCTCTCAACAAGCCCTTTGGAGACTAACGCCATATAATCATTAAGCCTTTGTCGTTTGCATGCTGCTAATCACTTACTTTATTATCCCTCGTATCCATTGTCTTTCTTTAATTGCTCTTTAAATTAAAATTAAAAATAGTTTGAAAGCCCTCAATGGCTGGAACAGCATCTTGATTATGAAGATAACTTCAGGAAATTCAGGGCTGGTGATGCATAGCCAGGATTAGGAGAGTCCTACAGGCTTGTGCTCCTGTGCTCAAGGCCCCGAGGGCCCAATTGTGGCAGTTTCTCTTTCTTTAGCCCATACTGTTTGTTTAATAAATGGTTATTTATGACCTTTTTGGCCGTTAGAGAAACTTCCAAGAAAGTACATCCTTTTCATAGGTCTGGGCACTAAGCAAAGGGGTAAAAATGGATGGAAAAAGGGCATGAGAATGTGTGAGAGCACCCTAGAACCCTTAGTTCCCGAGGTAGTTTATTCTGTGGGTGCTTACTTTTAACATTTGGGCTCTTGAAAGAGACCTGCACCTTAGAGCCAGGGCCAGGGAGTGAGGGTCATTCCCATAGATGAAGGGGCTGAGGTCACTACAACTGCCACAACTATCACCGCGTGGCAGCGTGCTTTGTTAGTGGAAAGAATACAGGGCTCCTGGAGGGAGACGGGACCATGCCTGAGTGCTTCTTCTGAGAGATAACATGGTTCTGTGACGAGGGCTGCAATTTGCCAACTGTTTGGTTGTCACTGTACAATGTGTGTCTCTTGGATGTAAATATCACTGTGTTGATAGACTTCTACATACTACCTTAAGAAACAAACAAAAAGCTAACTCCAGTGAGGTCTCTGTGGTCATTGCTGACTACTGAGTGAGCAAATCAATGAAAAGTATTCCAGTGCTACACACAATGTGGTGCTCACACTGGAGGAGATTTGAAGTATTGCTTGTGCCTTGTTTTAAATATGGGAAAATAAAAAATAATCAATGTGTTGAGGAGTCATATGGGTTCCTTGAGAGTTGGAAGTTGACTTTGAACGAAAATCCATGCCTTTGGTTTTCTGTGTCAACTTAATAACCAATTGTTGATGAACAATAAGTAGTTAAAGTTAATAGTAAGTAGTAAAAGAGAGTGGGGAAATAGCTTAGTCAGTATAGTGCTTGCCATGCAACCATGGGGAATTTGAGTTCATCCCCAGAACCCATGAAAAGAAGCCAGCCATTGGAGAGTTTGTAATCCCAGCACTGTGGAATTTGAATCAGTGGGGTCCCAGAGCTTGTTGGTTAGCCAGCCTACCTTAATTAGTGAATTTTAGGTCAACAGAAGACATCAAATAAAACAAGGTAAATGGCATCTTGAAGAAAGACACCTGGAACTGACCCATAGCCTACATATACACTTGGATTCGTGCACAGACAGACAGACACACACACACACACACACACACACACACACACACACACACGCACATATGCATGTACGCACGCACACACGTACGCATGCACGCACATATGCAGACACATATGAGAAGTTAATATTTAGAAGTACTTACTATTGTGTTAAAAGTTTGCTTATGTTACCAACCCATTTATAATCTTCATGGCACATTTCTAGTCCATTTACAGATGAAGAAATTGAGACACAGAAATTAAGCAAATTGCTCTAGACCACTGAAACTGAAAGAGGCAAGACTGGAGAATCAGTCTATTATGGCTCATTTCTGAGTGTGAGTTGTGGTCAAAGTGTAGTTAGTACATGAGCAGGGGTTGGAGTATACTCAGGATTAAACTAGCACCATTCATATGCTTTTGTGGTAAAGACTTTTATGTGTGCAGGTAGGCACACCCCTGGTATTTCAAGATCCCAGACACCAGTTACACGTTTATCCTCCAGCATAACCATTTATGCAGAAATTCTTTAGTCGTTAAAAAAATTAAATGCTTTTAGTTAAAGAACTGTTAAATGCTTGGCACCTTGGTGTCTTCCTTGGCCTACACAGTGGTTCTCAACTTTCCTAATGCTGCAACCCTTTAATATAGTTCCTCATGACATGGTGACCCCCCCAATCATAAAGTTATTTTCATTGCTACTTCATAATTGCCATCATGACCAACAAATTGAGAAACACTGTTCTAGGACCTTTCAGGGACAGCTGACTCAGGGTTGTCAGTGATGAGAATCTGTTTTTCTGAATTATGTGACCAACCCCTTGGCCATCTGGTAAACCTGTCCTTTGCAGCTACTTAACTATGTTTAAGCTACTTTTGCTTGGTTGAGTTTCCTTATGTGGCTTTGCTTCGTTGGCTATTGGTTCACACTAAACAAAACAACTGGGGCCCATTTGGTATTTGGTAGTTTTAAATGTATAAGGACATTTGAACTATATGACAAATGCTGGAAAACAAAGCCTAGAGCTCTGAGAACGCAAAGGGACTGTTTATAATGAAAAGGGGGTTACATTTCCAGTCAATCTATCACTTTAATGAGCTCTTTGTATTTCTTTGATTAATGTTCACAAAAGGGGGAGAAAAATTGATGTAATGGAAACAAAGTGCTATATAATCTTGGCAGCAGACAGGAGGATTTCTATGTGTTTTATTAGCACCCACATCATGTCACCCCCCTGTAAATGTATATGTCTGCATGTGCCCTGCCATAGCAAATCCCCAGTTTACTGGAAATACAATCCTTCATGAAAGATGAGACCTTATGTTGGTAGCCAAATGTCCTTTGTCCTGTTGTGGTGGCAGTAAGAAGAGCTTTCCAGAACAGGGACAGAGAATAACTAATACAGGCGGAAAGTCAGATTTGGTTTCTACCATATTGAAATGAGGGGTCCACTAGGTAGATGGTGATCAAGAGAAGCAGATGGACGAGGCTTAAGCATGTATAAATATCAACATACAGCAAGTACTCTATTGTCAGCAGTAATTCAAGCACGTTAAAACAGTGATGGAAAGGGCACGCTGGGATTCAGAAGGCAGGTGTGTGAAGCGAGTCGAAGCATGGGCAGAATGTCTCTAAGGCTTCCCAGAGGGAGTGGCTGAAAAGCTGGCTGGAAGAGAAAGGGAGGGGACAGTATGTCTGAAGAGGGTAAGCTGGGTAAGAGAACGGCCACGAATCAGGACATGCCACTCTTGTACTGGAAAGCAGCGCCCGCTGATGCTCCCCTCATTAGTGTGCATGGTGTACAGCGGGTTTTCATGGGCTCCTTATCAAGTAGGACTTGACACATGCACTCCATGACCTCTGCTCTGATATTTGGTGACTCATAAAATAGTGGGATGTTGAAATAAGAACGGCCTGGGAACCAGGAACCTCTTTGGCTCATTTCGTCTCAAGCCTCTTTTCCTGCTGCAGCCTTGGTCAGGTCAGTTCCTTCTTAGAACTTTGTTCTCTCAAAATGATGTTTTGAATCCTACGGATCAACAATCACCATGTCAGCAAAACTACTCTCGGCCCATAAAGACCACATATACACATACACAAGGCTTTGAGATCACAGGGCTGTCTTTGCCTTTGGTTAATTTTTAATTTATAAATTATTTATTACCTAAACGAAGGCTACTCACTTTAGAAAATTTAAGAGCTCATGGTATATTTTATGGGTCTTCCATATATATTTGTATGTGTGTATGTGTGAACATATGTGTTTGTGTGAATGCATGCATATGGAAGCCAGAGAGCAACTTCATGGTTCCTCAGGCACTGTCCAATGTTCACTTCTTTTTTTTTTAAGATGGAGTTCCTCACTGGCTGGGAACTCTCCAAGAAGGCCAGGGTAGCTGGTTAGTAAACCCTGGAGATTCGCCCCTCTCCAGCACTGATTTTACAAATGTGTGTCACCATGCCCAAGTTTTACATGGCCTCTGGGGTTTGGAATCCTGTCTTCATGTTCACAAGTCAAGCATTTTACTGACTGAGCCATCCCTCTAGGGTTGACTAAGGAGCCTTGTAATTTCACTGCTCAAACATAAGAAATTTGACACATTGTTGCTTCCATAGATACACTTTCTTACCTTCAAAAATGGATTATACATTAGTTTTTAATGCCCTTAAGTGTTTTTCTGCAGTATGTCTGTTGGATGAATCCTTAACACAATTATTTCCCAAGGCTTGACATGCATGTAGTTTCCTGTTCAATGTTATTCAGGAGCTGTGAAGAAAAACACCACCATACCAAGTATTTAATATAAGGGACGGTGGCTGTACACACATTTTTCAAAGCAAAATCATTTGGAACAAAGGGCAGGTAAAACTGTAAGTCCCCTGACTCATATTGACAAAGTATATCTTGTTTTAGAGTTGTAAAACAAATGAGGAAGAAGTGAAAACATCAATAGACAAACTGTAGACAATCATATGACACCATATTTACATAGATGAACACATCTGACTTCTTTCTAAGTCTATGGCTTTAGTTGTCTTTCAGTAGTGACTAGTTTGTCCTGCCTTCTTGTCTCCCTCTCCTCCACTTTCTTCCCTTTTGCCCCTTTTCATTCCTTTCACCAGCCCCTTCAGAGACAAATTGGTCCATACATTCATTACTAAGAGAGACTTCTTAAGGGGTTGACTCTTGACAACACATTTGTTTTATGTGTGGGAGATTTCTCTGAGTGCTGAATCTACATGACAAAGAGTGCTGGGTAAACAGCTTTAGAGAAGGTCCATTTGATTGGCTGGTTTCATTGGCTGTGTTTTGAATCAGATCCCAGATGAAAAATTGGAAAAAAAGGATCAGGTATTTTATGCAGCAGGTGCCATCAGCTCCCCAAAGTGCCAATGAAATACAGTCTCTGCAAAAATCACACATGAAAAGAATGTCAGCATGACTTACTGCAAGTAGAAAGGATTGGGGAAGGGCACTAAACTAGATTGTGTCATTGGCCACTGGTCACAGGCATGTGGGAAGCTGGCTGAAGGAGTCATATGCTTTGATAGAAAAACCTTACGCACCATGGGCTAGAAAGGTGACTGGGTGGCTCAGAGTGCTTTCTGGTTTTGCAGAGGACCCGAGTCTGTTCCTAGCACTCACATCAGGTAACTCACAACTGCCTGTAACTCCAGCTCCAGGGGATCTGATAAGCTCTTTGACTTCTGCAGGCACCTGCACACAGGTGGTCTACATTCCCATAGACAGACAGACATACACACAATTTAAAAAAATCAGTGACATAAAAACCATTCCATCGGGATTTCCCCCAGTGATTGCACTAGTAGGGGGCTTCGGGCATGATAGAAATCCAGCTGAAAAAAATCTAACTATTCAAATGTCAGGGCTCTGCTTAAGTTTTTATTTTTCACCTCCTATTTAATTTTCCCTGTTTCATTCATCCCAAAGTGGATGAGTTTACAGTCCTCGGTCTGTGGACTCATGCGTGTGTGTGTGGGGGGGGGCACGCATGCATGTGCATATTCCTATGTGTGTGCCAATAATGTGGCAGTCAGAGGCTGATATTCAGTGTTGTCCTCAGTTGTTCATCTTAACTTATGAAGGTTCCCCACTGGAGGCTGTGGCCACTGGAGCCTGCAAACCAGAAAGTGGTCAGTTGGAGTCACCTTTGGGCAAAGTCAGGAGACTTTGTCACCTCAGTATATGATCTCTGTTTTTTTCATTTTGTTTTTGTTTTTTTTTCCCTTAAATTGCATAAATCCTCAACACCAGACTCCGGCTTTGGAACTCATTGAAAAACTCATGGAAACTGTATATATATATATATATATATATATATATATATATATATATAATTGCAAGGTTAACCTAAAGTTCTTCCTTCTGACAGGAGTTTTCTGGTAACTCTTCCTCATATCTCTTTTCCAAGCCAACTCTATCAGCATGGGTTATTCCTGCCCCTCTTAGTTAGAAAGCGATTGCTCCTCTCCAACATGGAATTTTCTTTACTTGGGCTGCTGATAAATTTGTTGGCATACACACTGCAGAAATGACTGCTGTGGCTATTACTGTAGTTGCTCAGGGGAGCTATTCAGATGCCTCATTTATTGGAGCTTAATAGATTAAAAGTCTAAATTGAGTCTCATGATATAAGCCTAATCAAGTTCTAATCTGCATAATTTTCCCATAAGCAGCAATGGGAAATTTGGATAATTGATGTTTCAGCAGTTGCCAATCATGTGTTAAATAGCACTGTTGCATTTACTTATCAAAATATTTTTATTGATCCTCGCTTCATCTGACATTTGGTTTGGGGATTCTTTTTTTTTCTTGCTGGCATTAACAGGAAATCTAATTCATCTCCTAGATGATGTAACATGAGATGTTTCTCTTGATTTTTAACATGTCTTTATAGATCATTTTTAACGGTGATCTTTCCTTTAACAACTTCATATTGAATACCTGTCTCAGTGAACCTCGATGACTGGGCCTAATTTATTTCCCTAGTTTAACATAGCATATGGATTTCTAACCATCATTTATATGCACACAATAAAAGATAATTTGGCTCACCCTTCGAGCCAATTCCTTTATGTTGAATCTCTGGGGGACGGGGAAGCACTTACCTTCATTTCTCCATCTCTTCTAGGGGAGGTGATTGATAAGAATTTCCATCTCCCTCCCTCTCTCCCTGGAAAGGCTTGGGGATTTAACTAGGGAAGATTTAGGAAGTACTTTGTGTTTCCCCCATGGAAAAGTACTGTAATAAAGCATTTAGTATTCACACCCTGAGCTGTGCATGTTGCGGTATCAAAGCAGGGTAAGCCTGACAGCAATGGGCCCCAGTTGTTGTATGCTATTGTTTAAAAGTGAAACAACAACAAAAAAGTTAGAGTCTCAAACTTGCCTGCTAGGGTTGAGGAGAGTAGGGAGGGAGGGAAGGGGGAGAGAGAGAGAGAGAGAGAGAGAGAGAGAGAGAGAGAGAGAGAGAGAGAGAGAGAGAGAGAGAGAGAGAGAGAGAGAGAATGAAAGAGAGAGAGAGAATGAGAGAATCGCACAGCCATAGCTACGGCATGGAGCACACCATTGGATTATCTGTTATGCGTGTCCCTCCCACCCCTGTTACTTTCCATCTTTCCTTTGGGGTACCATTTTCCTTTTTCTACAAACATGATACTATGAGCTGGTCTCACTCAACTCATACAGTTGTGACGAGCAATAAATGAGGTGCGGCCCGAAAGACAGCGCCTTGGGTGCAGTCTGCTTTAGAGGAGCCTGGGCACTCATTTGGTTCAGATCTGAGGTCTGCTCAGCAGATGGGATGCTCTTGGGGCACACTGCCTACCCTCTCTAGGGTCCTGGTTAGGCCCCAGTTTCTTCTTCCACAAACAGTCTTTTTTTAGGATGGTCCTGAGATCCCAGGCTGGCAGAGCACAATGCTTCTTCCCCTGGCGTGCTGTCTCCACCCTCGGTTACCACAGTCAGCTCATCTCGACAGCACCCTCCCCTTTGCCTTGGCGCCCCCTTTGCCTTGGCGCCTCACTCGTTTCTGGCTTCCCCAGCCTGCATTGCTCCACGGAGCACTTTTCTAGTCTGCTAGTCTGGCTGAGCCATAGGTAGCTCAGTGCTTGTGCCTGGTCTCTTAGATGCAGAGAAACCCAGCGTGCATGTATACAACACCAATCAGAAACTATTAATTTATTTTGCATGCTTATACTCAGTTCTTTTTCCACTTTTTGTAATTCAAGGGGAATTTTGTGCTCTTTTGAGATTATAATTAAGTGACAGTATTTTCCCTTACCTTTCCACCCTCCAAGCCCTCATATATATATCCTTCTCCTACTTGCCTTCAAATTCATGGCTTTTGTAAAAGCTTAATTGTTATTGTATGAATATATGCATATACACATACTCCTAAATATAATCTGTTCAATTGGTAAAATGCTACCTGTATGTATGTTTTTCGGCTGACCATTTGGCACTGGAAACCATCGGTGTGCTCTTCTCTGGGGAGGGCCACCTCTTACATTTCCAGTTTTCTTCAGTTGCCTAAGTTATTTGCCTAGGACTGAGCCTCGTGGGCTTGTCTCCATACATTTTGGCATGTCCATTGGGGTCACCCTTGTTCAGCTCACATTTGGACAAACATGTTAGTAAAACTTCATGGATGTAACTTCTGACACCACTAGGAGACACAGTCTCACAGCAAACTCCGTGGTCCTCTGGCTCTCACAGTCTTTCCAAACCCCTCTTCCTCAATGTCCCCAGGCCCTTAGGTGTGGCAGGAAATAACATTTTAATAAATGAAAACCTTGATGTCACTTTTTCTTGTTGCTCCTTCTAGCTCTTGACAGGAACCATCAAAGCTCTTGTGTCAGATTCCTTCATTCCAAGCCACCCTCACTAAAGTCAATGCTCTGAGCTCTTCACTAACTGATGTTTCGCCTTCCTCTCTTCTCTCCAGCTGAGACCTCACTCGATCAGCGTAAACAACAGTAGCCAGAGAAGGTCAACTGTGGCTGACCCTGTTAGTTCCATCCAGCAGGGTAATGGGTCCAGAACGCAGGTGCCAGAGTAAAACAGTAGTAAAACAGTTTCTGGAGCCCAAGGAGCAAATGACTTCCAATTAATTAAAGGGGCCGGGAGATTAGGTCTAGAAAAGAGAAGGTTCTAGAAGTGGTCTGCAGTCGCTATTTGAAATGAATAGCCTTTACTATGTGAAGGGTGGGCCATCAGTTTCCTGTAAGTCTGAGGAAAGCCTCAGCCTTCCCAATATCCAGATTCCTTCCTGAGATGTTTCCAGCTGTCCTATTATTATTATTATTTATTGTTGTTGCTATTATTATCATTATTGTTATTGCAGGGCTAATCTATTTATAACAAAAATACCCACCCACTATGATTCTTGGCTTCTCATTAGAACAAATTCTTCTTTAGAAAAATCTATCTTTACCCACAGGAAAGGGTCTTGATGGGTGCCAGACCTCTCCACAAGTATCTGTTGTATATCTAGTATAATATTGTCATTGATAGGCAGCATTTTTGAGGGCTTGCTTCATCCTAGGTGTGACACATTTCACTTTAGCCTTCCAGATTCCCTGTGAAAGGAACACTTCTGACTTTCAGATGAAGAATCAGAAACCTGGAGAGAATATTGGCTGTGCTGTGCTTATACCTACGAAGCCAACCCAAATCATGTGTATTGTCCTCCTGAGGCTTAGGGAGCACTGGGGAAGAGTAGACACAGTATCCAGTCCAGCCAACTAGTCTGGTTTGTGCCTTAGAAGGGGAGTGTGGATTGAGGAAAGAAACAGGCTAAAGACAAGAGTTGGAGAGCATCTCGTGAATACCATGATCCGCCCAAGTTTATTGTTCAAAGTTCTTATATACTACAGTCAAAAGGGGGAAAAGGTAAAGACTTCCTTATCAATGATACAGAGAACAAACAGATGGAATTACCTCTTTAGTACCTGAAACATCAAGTAACCACACCCTGAACTAAGTATTCTGTTATTTAGACAAGACACCCAGTGACCACACCTTAGACTAAATATCCTGTTGTTTAACCTTGAAGGAGCAAGGGTGGGTTTGCACTCTCTGACCTTAAGTCAAGATGAAGTGGAACCATTTCTGTGGGCCTCCACAGGGATTGGGGGTGGTGTGGGGCTTCCCTGGAAGGAGAGGAGGTAGTCTGGGGAAGTCATGTCTAGCTCCATGGAATACCATGTTAGTGTTAACATTAAGGAATTAGGAACCTAAGCAAGAACTTGGGCAGTCCAGAAATTCAACTTGAACCTTTTCTGAGTGTGGTTTCTTAGTCTAGCTCTCTCACACAGACATTCTTAATGATTTCTTTTGGCAAAGTGAAGGGCTGTCTCCCATGTTGGAGCATTTCCCAGTTTTTCTGGTCCCTGGCTGCACATCCTTGGGGTATACGCCACATGTCCTGGCTTGCACAAACATAACGCCAGTATTGTTTTATGTAAAGATGTAAAGTAATGCCAACATTTAAACGGGTGGAGACCAGACCGTTGTGGAGACCTGCTTTGTCAACCATGACTAGAATGATGACATCTAAGGCTATCTTCATACCTCACTCCTTCAGATGGAATACACCTGGATTTCTCTTCTCTTCAAGGTCATTTAGGAAGTCTGCAAAACCCTGGGGCTTCAGAACATTAGTTTTTCCTATAGATGGGTCCCTAAAGGGGAAAAACAATGCTAGTTAAGTCTGAGTCATTACTACAGCTGTATGAGAGGAAAGGAGAAAACCTACACTTTTGTCAATTTTGCCCCCACACCCACCTCCACCCTCAACTTTTCTGGGAGGCCAGAAAAGTCACAAAATAGGAAGAGGCATAATATCTCTGAAGTTCCCATGTCAGCATTAGTACCCTCTTCTTGGGGGGTCACAGATGAAGGGGAGGCAGACCTTCCACGGGGGGGGGGTGGTATCTGTCCACCCATCAGCTTCTCAGGTGTAGATGCTGATGGACCCACACTTGAAGTCTTCAGAGGGAAATGGGATACGGAAGCAAAGTGAAAGGGGCCTGGGAAGCGGACGTGCCATTTCTTAGTGAAGGCTTCATGCAAGGGGCTGAGTCTTTTCACAGCTGAAAATGGAACCCTTAAATAAGATAAAACAAAAGGATGCTCCGGCCTGTTGCAGTCTCGGCAGTGAAATACAGCTTTCCTAGCACCGCGGGACCCGCGTCTCTGTCTGCTTTATGGGTTCTGCTCCTTGAGGAACACACCCATATTTTCTCCAGTCAGCGTCTGAAGATGGATGTCAAAATACAGGCCATGTATTATGCATACAGCATTACCGATGTAAGGTGTTCACTTGTCAAGTTGAAGAAAGTCAGAAACGTCCCATCCACTGAACCTGCACAGCTGTCACTTGCAATTTTTCATGCGATTGAATGCAACTTCTGATGCAAACAGTTTATTTCTGCTCCTTTTCCTGTTGGAAGGGAAGAAAACAGCTAACATTTAAAATGCGTGCTCTTTGGTTATGCAGCTGGCTGGGAAAGAGATACATTCCAAGTTTAGGAAGAATGCACACTAACCTATTGAATGTAATTTGGTCTGTTTGAGGTGTCATAATACTACAAAAAAAAGTGCAATCAGGGAATGATGCTTTTTGTCTTCCTGAAAGCATAGTAGTTGATAAGATAGTTACATAAAGGAGAGCAGAAAATGAGAAAGCCTGCTTCAAAGTCTTTTGCATTTTGTGCTGTAAACCTCGGACAGGATAGGCAATTTCTGAGCATCAAACATACCCCAAATGCCAGAATCAGCCCAGCCTTGTCCCACTATTAAGTATTGACGGTAAAATGTGGTCCTATGATCAATTAGGGGTTTTTATTTGGAACCCAAGCAAGTATCTTTGTACCTTTGAATCCTTCATTTACTGGCAAGCCCATATAGAGATGAGAAACCAAAAAATCAGGCATAGCAGCATGTACATTTTAATCCTAGCACTCAGGATGCAGAGGCAAGAAGATCTTTGTAAGTTCAAGGGCAGCCAGGTCTGCCAAGTGAGTTCAGACTAGCCATGTTACATAGTGAAGACTGCATTTCCAAAGCGACTTTTTAATTCAATAAAATGAAAAGTAAAAACAACCCGAAACAAATGGCAACACAGAGCTCACAGTCCCAGTTGCTGTGCGCCTCACTTGGAAAATGAATTTCTAACCAGTGCAGGCACAATTCAAAGAGCTCTCCCATCTCTGTGTGTGTTTGTCTGCATCCTCACCAAGGTACTCAGTGGGCTTGACTGCAAGGAAGTCTCACCCTTCCTAAACTTGACATCACACATCTTACCCGGTTCATAAAGCTTATACATTCTTGATAGTGCCAGGTCAGTTAGCTCAGGAATTCAAGGCTAGTTCTATTAACTACAGACACACAGTGTCTGGAGAGAATCAAACAAGATTGAAGGCCTCCAAGCAGATTTACCCTCACATCTCACCAGCCCTAAGTTCCTCAGGAGCAGAAGGAAATGTAGTCAGTTGGCTGAACAGAATTGTCAGAGTGAGTCTAGCTAGGCTGTGTAATAACAAGCAAAACATTTCAGTGGTTTGGAAGAGCCCATCATTGTTTTCCACTTAAACATTTTATGGAGGAGCTGTCTGAGACTGCTGTCGGGACTCCATCTCCATAGTGACCCATGTCTCCATATATATAGGATGTGGATTGGGAAGAGAAGGACAAGACAAAGCCTTATACCAGAAGCGATGTGTGTTTCTTTGCTCCATTTTCTTGAGCAAGAACATTTTGTATGTCACACACTCCTTCCTACCTAAGGGCAACTAGATACGGTGGTAACTATTTGATATGAGAGGGGGAACTATATAGGATATATACTGATATGGTCTAGATTTTTAGGAAGGTGGGTATCAGAGTAAGTTGGAATTGCTCCAAGTATGTTGCCTATATAGCCTTAAAAAAACAAAACATAATTCAGAAGTTATCCTGTATTAATTGGTAGCCTGTCAATAATGTGTACACTGTACTTTGAGGGTTCTCTATGTATACTGTACTTTTTTCTACTTCTCTGAATTTCTCTCTACTAGGATTCACACCTCCTGGAATGGACAGATCATCTCCAGACAACAGCCCAGTGCATGGGATGCTACGCCAGCCATCCATCACAACGGGGGTCAACATCCCCATCATCACAGAACTCGGTAGGGGGTCATTGTCAGCTCAGGGGGTGGGTGCTTTTGTCTTCCAGACCATGGAGAAAAGAGGAGGGTGGCCTGTCTGCTAACCCTTTGGGCATCATAGGTTTCGGGTGGAGTAGCAGAGGTGAAGTATGAGTAGCGATACGGCAAATCATTTGAAGGACAAACTGTTCTGTTTTTCCCAGGAGAGAAATAGACAGTTTCCTTCCTTCTGGCTATGGTTTTCAAAGGAGCGTGAGAATGGCTTTGACATTGGGGCATCCATCTGGGAAGCGGGCAGAAAGGAGGCAGAGTTCTTCTGGTGGCTTCATCCTGACGGTGCCTCTTCTGAGTGTTCTGTTTCAAAGGCTCCTACAGTTGAAACCCTGCTCAGAACCTCGGGATTAAGCCCATCCCATCCCAGGATGAATCCCCGGTGAGAGCTGGGTCAAACGTTTGTTTGCTCCACTATGTGGCCGCTCCACCTTGACCCTACCCAGGTTGAAATTCTCACCAAAGGTCATTTCTAAAAGATGGCCAAAATATGGATGAAGGGCATGGTTTGAATGCTATAATCTGTAGCCAATAAAACCCAACTTCTGACCATGCCATTCTCTGGTACCCTGTGTGAAGTTATAAAGCTCTTCTCCCGCACAGCAAAGACTATTGCCCAGGTGGCTAGCTTGAGGATGTGTCCCCTATTGTTCCCTCACTTTCTTTTTTTCTTTCTGTACTTTCTTCCACTCCCTTTCCCTGACCCTTAAATGCCGTATCCAATTAGCTAAACCAGGCAAGTTGCCTTTGGTATCAGTCAATCAGGAAAAAAACAGTGGGACCCACATTCTAATGATAACGGAGTTGGGTAAGAAGTGCTTGTCTTCTTGACATCAGTATTTTCTTTTGTTCTGATCTTGGTGTTTCCAACTCTCATTGGCTTTTCCCCCCTTCATTTCACTGGCTGTAACAGAAAGGCTACCCCATGGCACTGCTTTGAATGCATTTTGTTTGTGGCTCTGGTTGGAATCGACTGTCTTGTTCTGGCCTTTTCTTAATGATTTTTTCCCCCACACAGCATCAGTAAACCTTTGATCACACCCATCTGACCTGGCAGTAGCTTCCAAAGCATCTCTGCTCTAATTCATTTTCTGTAGCCCAAGCCCCTCTCTCCCTCTCTTTTAAAACCCACATGTGCCCCTTCTCCCTGCCTCCTCCCTACATTCCTTTCCAACATGCTGTCAGTTTGACTGACATGTCTTCATAGCTCACAGAGGAAGTCAAAGGAAAAATATAAAAATTTTAAGATAAGAAATCCTAGACAGTGCCTTCCCTCCAGCTGTTTATTTTTCTTTATTCTGGCTTTATTTGCCTTTTCTCCCCCCCCTCCCTGCCCTTTTCTCAGAAGTTCAGCTTCTGAAGCTTAAAAAGCAGCTGGTTCCCATGGGGATCTTTTCTTACTAAATCCAGGAAGGGTGCAGAACAGGCTGGCGGCCCTACACTCTGTCCCCCACCCTGCTGGCCCAAAGTCCTCTCTGAGAGATTCACAGTGGATTTATCCAGAAGATGAAGGCCCCTGGTCATGCCTGCATTTGTCAGGCCTTTCCATGGTTCCCCATGACTTGGTTAATAACCCACAAAGGGCGCCCATCAGCAGCAGGTCTCAGCACTAGAGATTCATCTTCTAAATAGACATAGCAAAGGGCTTCTTGGCAGAGACATGGGAGGAGGGGTGTGGAGCACCTGCCTTCCCATGACTCACAGATGAATTGAACAGTCCATTTTCTTGGCCCCCAAATATATTTCAAAATAAGAGAGGAGGCTTTTAACCCAGTAATCTTGCTTGTGAGGTGTCTAGAAATGAAGGAATAAATTGTCCACCATGCAGCCCTTTGTAGTTGTTAGACAGAGCTATTCATCAGGACAAATTCACCCAGGTCAAGGAGTATCATACTATTTTTTGTTTCCAACACTAGGAAAGGTATCTTTTTTATGTTTAGCATTGTTGGCTAAAAGCCTAGGTTTCTCCATTGCTCTTCTTAGAACCACAGGACCATAAAAGACCAAAGGAAGCTCATGTGCCCCAGACTACTGTTTGGGAAATTCATCAACATCTCCAGTACAGATACCTACAGCAGCTTCCCAAAAGCACCCACACCAAGACTTCCTTATTCATGTGGAACCCATGTGCTATTAACTAACTGGAGCCTCCTGATTTTGATTAGTGTAAAAGGCAAGCAAAACGTTTGGTGCTCTAGATACAATGTAGCAATTTGGTTAGCAGTTCCCGACACTCTCCCACACCAGATTTCCCCCTCATGTTTGGAGTTCAGACCATTTCTTCCTTTTGCTCTGAAGGCAAGTTTCTCTAGTAGCCACACCACTGTCCTTATTCCACTCCTCCCTCCACTTCACCCCTACAAATGTTCGCCATTTGTCACCTGCCCTGTGATGTGTGTTGTGTTACATTGCTCCAGTCATATTCCCCTTAAAACAGCAGAGAACAGAGCTGGAGAGATGGGCCTGAGGTAGTGCTTGCTGGGCAATCATGAGGACCTGAGTGCAGATCCCCAGCATGCATATGCAAGCTGAGCATGGCAATGTACATCTTGTAATTCCCACCCTTGGGGACAGAGATGGAAGGATCCCTGAGGATTGCTGGCCAGGTAGCCTAGCTGAATTGGTGAGCTTCAGGTTCAGCTGAGAAACTCTGTCCAAAAAGTAATAAAGAAAATGATTGCGTATGACAACTAATGTTGACATCTACCTTCCACGTGCTCCTATATATGAACACATACATATATGAACACATACATACATGAACATACACAAAGGCACAGAGACAACCAAGGCCAAACATATTTTAAGACTGTAATATATTCCAGTCCTCATCTGTCCTGATACTCCCATAACAAAGGCGCATGAAGTTTCCATGAAGTTTGTTTGTAGCTGCTTAACTCACTATTTCCCAATTGTGTTTGATCAGATGCACTGTGGGCCAATGTGTTTGTCACCTCTTATTTCCTATGTGGTTGCTATTCTGGGAAATAGGCAAAGGAAACTCCAGCTGTTATCTTTCCAAGACTGGGCATCCCAGAACAACAGGCAAGGCTTTTCACAGAAGCTTTCTCTTGCCTTGACACCTTCTGATAGCTTACACCCTTAGATTGCTCAAGTCCAGAGTTGTTTATCCTACTTGGGGCCACACTAGTAACATAACACCATTTCTTCTTCATCTCCTTGTAGAGAGGGAAGGGATATTGCTCCAGTAGGAATGATGGTGACGTTGTGAATAAATAAGACCATATTCCAATGTGTGTGCTCTCTTAACTTACACTTTCCCAGAGTAGAAATACTGTGACTCTTACAACATACTTTTAGAATACCAAAAGAGAAAATAATAGACCTAGGATTTAGCTGAGTTGGTAGAGTACTTGCTTAACATTAATTAACAAAGCCCTCGGTTCAATCCCCAGCACTTCATCAATTGGATGTGTTGGTCTACACCCATAATCCTTACGCAGCAAAGTTAGAGAAAGATCAGAAGTTTACTCCAAATGAGTTTGAAGCCATCCTAGGATATATGAGACACTATCCAGAGAGAGAGAGAGAGAGAGAGAGAGAGAGAGAGGAAAACAATAAGGCAAAATTTCAATAACATGGATTTTAAAATCTTTTTTTTTTTTGGTTTTTACAAGACAGGGTTTCTCTGTATTGTTTTGGAGGCTGTTGGTCCAGCCTGGCCTCGAACTCACAGAGATCTGCCTGCCTCTGCCTCCCGAGTGCTGGGATTAAAGGCGTGCGCCACCACTGCCCGGCTGGATTTTTAAAATCTTAAAAAACAAATATTTATTTATCTTGCATGTATATGAGTGTTTGCCTGCATAAATGTATGTATCCCATGTGCATGCACATGCAGTAGACAGAAGAGTGTTGGATTCCCTCCATGGAACAGTTATAGGTAGGCCAAGGTGTGGGTGCCAGGAAGCTAATACAAGTCCTCTGCAAGAACAGCAACTGCTCTTGGTCACCAAGCTGTCTCTTCAGTGCATGCCTTAGGAAGTTCAATCCACTTTACCTATAATTCCAGAGTACTACATGTGTCCAAACCAAAATGGTTCCTCATATCTGACCCACTATGAGAGCAGGGTGTGTTTGTGTGTGTGTGTGTGTGTGTGTGTGTGTGTGTGTGTGTGTGTGTGTGTGTGTGAGTGTGTGGTTTGAACACTTGGCCACTTGTGATAATTTCTCCATGGAGTAAGGCTACAGTAGTTCAGGACACATTGAGACACATTTAGTTAAGCATGAATTAGGTATGGAGGCACCTTAGGGCCTATCATAATTCAGTTTAACAGGACCATTTGGAGGGTGCATAAGTAAACTGTTAGTGTTTCTAAGAGGAAGAGAGAGAGGCTGGACATTTCCATAATGAAATAGATAGACAGTTGTGATACCAACCTCCATTTATCTAGTGCGCAGCATGCCCTGGGTCCTGGACCAAACTTACCAAGTCTGGTCTCCTAGGAGTCTCTGAGCTACCCCACAGGAGACTGCATAATTTCCCCATTTCTCAGTGAGATCAGCTTAGCTGTAACATCATGAAATGCCTTGCCAAAGAAGTTGGTGACAAAATCAGACTTGAGACTTTCACCCACTATCTGCAATTCACTTGCCACTGAGACAACTGGGATCCAAATTATCACAGTAAAGATTTCCCTCCATTAGAGTTATTCTCTGGGGGAAGGGGAAAGATGGTGTGATTTAAAAATAATTCCACAACTAGCCTTTTGTCCTATTATTATTTACTCTGATTCATGCAATAAACAAGGTTTTGTGGTTTGTTTGTTTTTTTAAAGGAACGTTATCAAGAAAGTTCCTTTTAAAAATTAAAACAATAGATCTCAGAAAGAAAATTAGCTTCTGATAGATTCAGAAAGACATCAGAGCTAGGAAACCTCATCTGTTCTCTTCCTAAAACCACCTTAATTATTCCAGAAATCACAAATGTGCCTCTCCCCAACTTCCCACACTTCCCCCTATTACTCGCTCTGCAAAAGTGATCATTTCTGAGACCAAGACAGGAATTGAAGCTCATTTCTCATTTAATTTTTTGTAACTTAAAGACATTTGCAGGACACAACTCATCAGTCTGTGGGTCATGCAGGAGGAGTCCTTAGGGGCTGCTCAGATGATAATGAATGAAGGCATCTTGGCCTGGCCATGCCTTCTGGAACACAAGGAAGACAGAGCTGTTAACAAGGGGGAAACAGAGTGTGTGGAGCCTTGCAGGGAAAGTTGGATAACAGCCGGAAGCAGCCAGGAGCCATTCCTGAGTGTTCAGTAGGACATATAGGGTATGGGCCTAGGTTCAGAGGTGAGGCACACCAAGTACTACCTGGGCCCATCCTTGGGGCTAGCTGTGGGTCCTGCCTGAGGGTAAATTCCTTGCCATTTGCCTTTGCTGTGTTTCTGGTCTATTGCTTTTCCTTCTGAATAAGTTGCTTTCTTTTCTTTGTGGCTAACTAACTTTAGCATTCCAGCATGACTATTCATCATTGAAATATGTCCATCTCTCAAAGGACTTGGCTACCAAAAAATGCCCTAGGGTGTTTCTTGGTCATGATTCTAAAACTGCAATAAGGACTGGTCAGTGCCATCAACTTGCCAGTCCTTAGCAGTTGCCATGGGTCAAGCCTGCTTGACTTCATTGCTCTCCTGGTCTTAGAAGTTAAAACAGTCCTGTAGGAGCAGACCATTGAGTTCCACTGCTCGCCAACCTCAAGGTCCATCAACAGCTTCACCATTCTTGTTTCTTTTGTAGTAACTTCTTTAAGCCAGTCACTTAGTATCTCTCTGGCTTCACTAATGCATGTATAGTGTTCAGTGCTAATTCTTATTTTATGCCTTTTCTAGTGAACGATACTAATGTTCAGTTTTTGGACCAAGACGACGACGATGACCCTGACACAGAGCTGTACCTCACGCAGCCCTTTGCATGTGGGACAGCATTTGCCGTCAGCGTCCTGGACTCACTCATGAGTGCGGTGAGTTGTCTAACTTCCTCTCTACTCAAGTGGTGGAATACACAGTCATGTAATATCTCCAAAGTAGGAGGCACTGGCAGGAGTTTGAGCTGTGCATTGAAAAGTTCACAAGTTCATGAACTTTTCTCTCTAGAAAGGATACCAATACTTATCAATCACTCAAGTAAATATTGATTATAAATTCCTCAAAGTGTAGGGAAGACAGGGAAAGCGATCACCTGGTTTGGAGGATAAGAGAAGCAGTCCTTAAGGAAATAAATATTTCATACCAAGATGTGAGGCTGTCTCAAGGAAGACAAAGGAAGTCGAACCACAATGAGGAAAGGGACAGGGAAGACATTGAAAACCATTCCATGGTTGCAGTCTTTGCACTTAACGGGGAAGAGTGATGTGATCAGGTTCATGTCTGAAGTCAGTTGCCTTGTCGGCTAGGTGGATATGGCTCAGACTGGAAAGGATAGGGGGTGGTGTCTTTGGAAGCATCTTGTCTAGCTGGAGGGAGATAGTGATACAGGAAAGGTGGGGAGATGATGGGGTGAGTATTCATTGGTAAAAATGGAAACATCTGACAATAGCCTGAATGTGAACAGAATGTAGAAAGTACAGTGTGCCACCAAAGGTGACACCACAGTCCTTGTCTGTCACTGAAAGAGTAGTCCTTGGTTGAGGGCCAGACATGGAACTCTTCTCTGCTGAATGCCAGGGACAATGATAGAGGTAAAGGGAAGGAGCTATTGACTGAGACATCAAAAGCAGCTCTGTTTTGTTAAGTAACTTGATGTGTATTAAGTGGTTAGGCCATTTGTTTTCCTATTCTTATGACCCTCCCCAAATAAGTAACAGTTAATAGAGTAGATTCCAGCATAGTGGCATCATCACTCACTGCAATAGACAACAGCAGCCATTTAGAGTAGGCTACGGCAGGTACTGGGAATCATTCCCACTGGTGTCTTTATTTATAGAAGATGTACTTCATTTTGCAATAGTCAGATTCACAATTTGTGAAAGTGGAGGTGTAGACTGGATAAAAGCCATCATTTGTAGAACCCATGGAACAGAGTTTCATTGAGCATATTAAGCTGTAAACACAACTAGAAGGTGCTTCTCCATGCATACATTTCTTACACTGCCTAAGGAGGCTGTTCTCTTGACTATGTTAAACAACTGATATGCTAATTGTAGATTGTGATCATATATTCATTAAAGCTAATCCCAGAAGGATTACTGTGTGAGGAAAGATGAAGCCATGGAACTTTTAGAGACAAATTTAGGTTATTCTATATTACTGAATGTGGTGCAAATATAAGCACATCTTAGTGAAATATCAGAATTATGGTTTTAAAGATAATTATGAAATAACGTTCATCTGACTTAAGGTTCACTGGTGACTTTCCAAGACAATAAGAAGAGTGTGGGCCTTGTATTTGGTCCTTCCTGGTTTCCTGGAGTGCTGTGACTGAACTTAGGACTGCTGGTAATATTGGCTCAGTTTATACAAATTCTTGAACAGGCTGGAAAGAACAATAGAAACTGCACGCTTATGTTCAGTAAAGCACTGGATTCTCCGTAGGAGGCTGGATCGTGTCTCTTTAGAAATGCCACTTTAATTCTGATTCTAATTCCAGAGATTTCAGAACTTTTACTAAGAAAAGTAAGCTGTTTATGGATTTTTCCCCTAAACTACAAAATGCTCTAAGGTTTGTTTTTTTTTTAAAGCTTAAGCTTATAACATTTGGGTTTTTTGCAGGCAATATGCTCCAGGTAGGACAAGAAACATCATTTTAAAACATATGTTTTCATAAATTACTGAAAATTTGGAAATAATGAAGCTGTACACTTCCATGGGTCAAACACCCATGAAGCCCAGTGCTAATTCTAAGTGATGCAATTGAAACTTCTACACAGTCAAAGGGGCCCTTGACTGACAGCATGGAGGCAGGGCATACAACAGTAGGGGCAGGGCATATCTGGGTATGAGATTCAAGGCTACGGGTTGATAGCATTCCTAGAGAGTCAGTTCTCAGAAACTCAGATGAAAATCAGAATGAACTGATTTCTATCACTATTTTCAAGGGTCATCCCAAATCTCCTTTAACACCAAAGTAGCTTGGGGTATGTGAATGTTATAGCCTGAAAGCAGTCTTTCTTCCTTCTACATTCTAGCCCAGAGTAAAGGGTTCCAGGAACCTAGTACTGTCCCTCATATTTATCAGCAGCAGCAGCATTAGTTATTGAGAGCCTGGAACTGTGTGACACACTTCAGTGATACATTCTGATCTTTTAGACCATAGGGTGAATAAACCAGATTTAAATATCAGAACAAAGCATACTAACAGGCCTACTGTCAGTGCCTTTTCAAGTCATCAATCAAAATACTGGACAAATCATTCTAGAACTTGCTGTGTTGCGTAGGATGACAAACCTCCAGTTGAGGTCTGGCACAACAGACCCAATTAGATCCATCCACTCTGGATGTCAATGATCCCCCTTTTCTAGAATTGCTCCCCAAGTTGCCACTTATTCAAGGAATCAGCATTCTCTGAATATTGTGTTTCATCACTCAAATCCTCGTGGCCTGCTACTTTGCTAAGAGAATATTGTTTTGATTCTTCACTGGCCTTTTTGGAATTGTTAGGACTGTGTCAGACATAGTCTTACAGCTTCAGCCCACAGATTGACAACAGAAACCATGATGGGAGGAATAATTATCCTTATAGATGTGCACCTCTAAGAGGAAGGGTTCAGTTGAGAAATGAAGTTTTCTGAATGAGCCTAGATTGCCCCTCCACATGCATGCACGCATGCATACACCTAAACACACACACACATGCACGCATGCACACACACACACACACATACAAATGAAAGGAAGTCTGTCTGTTTTTAGAGCTGTGTGAGAGTTTTCCAGTTTTGTTTTTCTTTTTTTTTCTACCCAGCTTCACTTCTTCCAAAGCCCAATCCCAGTATCACTTCTACCCAGACACCTAGAATAAGAGGATACGGCGTTGGCTCTCTAGTCATACTAGTTTACTGACTGTGGATCCTGAATCTCTCTAGGCCTCATTTTGGTATCTTTAAAATGGGATAATACTCACACATGTCCCATAACTTGTCCATATGAGACTGTGGTCATGCTTATAAAGTGACCATGAAGTATTCAGCATATGACCAGTTCTCGAAAGCTGTATTACAGTTGCAGTCTTAAACAGTACATTTCCTGGACACTTACTAAATGACAAACATCATTCTCCACATTACAGAGTCAGGATAGAGAGGAGAACCATGGGCCATGACCTCATACTGTTTAAGTTTTCTATCTGCTTGGATACTCTAGAGATAAAAACTGTAGAGGAATGATAAATGATGTCAAATAATAAAAACAGATTTCAAGCATGTGAGGTGACTGGACAGTGAGGCACAGGGTCATATGAGGTGATTGACTAGACAGTGTGGCACAGGGTCATTGAGGAGAACTGATGCTTCTGGTTCCAATTCACCACAAGCCCCGTTTATGTTTTCTTACTGTCTGGGAATCAGTTGAGACCAACTGTTAATTAATTGTGACTTGAACAACTCCTTGTGCCTTTGTGGCAACTGGATGAGGACAAAGGAATATGAAGGTCTTTCAACAAGCAGAGCTGTAATTTGCTATTTAAATACACTCATATATGCATGCATGAATGCGTCTGCTTACTCATTCTCTCTCCTGAACACATGCATGCACACACATACATATAAGACTCAGGAGCTATGTGATAGAAGATTCAGAAGTCTGCAGAAGGATGTTTCTGTGTTTTCATGGCTCGTATGAGCTGAGCTTGGTGTCAGAAATAAGGGTTTGCGTTTCCAAGACTGGAGAATGTCTCCTCTGAATCATGGGTCCACCTGCCTTTCTGTCTATACTGTAACGTCCTGAAGGGCCAAACCCCGGGTGAGCCTTATGTTGAAGGTTGAGATCTCAGCCCAGGTTAATCCAGTGCCACTCCAGAGATGCCAGCAATTTATAGCTCATCACTCATCTCTTATACTCCATCCAAGAGCTCTCATTCATCCTTCTCACAGCAGACAGACAGTCCACACCCACACCTAAGGCAGATGGCGTAGCAGCATTGTCCTGTCTCAGCAGACAACAGCGGGGTGTTGTACTGGACCCAAGAACATACCCCTTGCTGCTACACCAGGCGAGGCAGATCAAGGAGAAAATAATTGAAATAGTCCTCATTGCTCACGAAAGAAAAATACTAAAAATAAAAACCCACACCATGAAAACTAGAAAATATAAAAAAATGGCAGATATGACATGGAAAATGACAATTTTAGTGCAATTATAGACGAAAGGCAGAGTGCCATTAAAGTTAAGGCAATGTTATTAAAAGATGTGTTAATTTTCAGTTAAATTTTCTATAAAAGACCAATTAGTTTAAAAGGCTTGACAGCATTAACTGTGAAACATAAGCTCCAGTAATTATACTTTAAAAAAAAAAGCCACACATAGAGGAAGAGGAGCCAGGGTGGTGGGGCCGCCCAGTGCGCATTAGGCTAGGTGGCGCTGCAGATTCAGTTATTTCTTCTGCAATTTTTTGGTCCTTAACCCAGCCTTCATGACTTTGCTGTGTGTCCCTACAGGATGCATGAATCACTTGCTAGAGGGCAAGGGAACCTCCCACATGATTGAAGCAGCCCTCCTTATTAGGGATGAAAGCACAGGCGCAGAGAGAGGGGGCGCTTTCTAAGTTGACTGCATTGGGTATACTTTTTTATAAACTGCAAGTCACTGAGTATTAGTTGCATATGGGAAACTACACTACACAAGTTCTGTTGTTTAACACTAGTCTATAAATTTGTGTTTTGCTCCCTTTTACCCCAGTTATGTTGATGAGATGTCCAAGCCATAGAAAACTTGGGCAATGTTCCCTCATAGCTATTGAGTAGCCAAGAAGGGATTAAAGACTATATACCCTAGGTCAGGGTGAGATGGTTTAGAGGCAAAGGCACTTGCT